AGACGATGTCAGGGCCCAGGAGCGGCACCATGATCATACCCTGTGAGTGCAATGTTGTCTCTTTCCTGGTGGCTTACATACATGTTTTTGTGAATTTACTTCGCTACATTACAGACGTGCAATAAGGCCCTTGGGAATTTGTTACCCTCGTGAGCAGCCAGCCCAGAGTTTTCTGTGTGGTGGTGCACCAGCAGTAATTGCTGGAATTATAAGAATAAATAGACTGTGAGTTGGGTGTGTCTTTCTAGCATCGTTGTGATCATTTCTGTTTTCAGTAAGTGTTGACGCTATAGTGAGAACAGCAGTTGTTTGCAAATGTTTGCAGTAGAAGATTAATTTCTGTGTTTTGTTTCCTCTTTTAGTGGAGATAAATGTGGGCCAACAGTGTCATGGTGTGTGCTGAAGAGGTTCCTTGCTCTAGAGGTGGTGCCGTCAGAAAAGGTAATAAGAAGAATTTTCACTGTATAATTTGGCTACAGGGTTTGTTCTAAAATGTGAACCCTGCCTAGGAGTTAATGACAGTGAAGGCACTCTCCGCATCACAGGAATACAAGTCTTCACTGTATCCCTCCAGTGTTTGCTGAAATCTCAACATCGCAAGCTCTCTCAAACAGGTCTTCAGCTCTTGCACCATATTATGTAGTTAAAAATGCGATACTGAGAATTCCTAGTTGTTACTCGTCCCGTCTCAAAATGATTATTCTATATGGGGTCTACAAAACCAATTTACAGGGAAGAGAACGTGCTGTACATACAGCGTCACTGAAAAGTCTACATACTGCACTTAGGTATTGCATATGTCTCTTCTGCTACTGCCAGAATCAGTTTTGTATTTGAGCGAAGGGAAAATTCAGACCTGCTACATAGAAGAAGTTTATCTGTGTGTTAGGGAGCCTAAGATACAATCCCACTGTCTGACTCTAGTATGTAGTCTTGTTCTGAATAAACTTTTGCGCAACATACTGACTTGGCTGAGAGACAGACCTCATGACAGAGAGGGTAGTACCATTTGGCTGCCTACATAGCTTTTTACATACTGCATTACACAGCAGTTTTTGCCATCCTTAAATTCTCTGTTTCTCCTTTGCTCCTGAGTAGCACTCTGCCTTAAGCCATCTCTCCCTTTTTGTCTGGCTTGCCTCTTGGCCAGAATGCAGGAATTGTAACATAGCAGGTGAAAGGGCAAAGGTGTTTGGGTTTTTTGGAGGTGGGAAGGGGACATGGTGAGAGCTGGTTTAAACTAGAAAAAACTGTGCAGAGAGGCTGTTGTTAAAAGAAGCGAAAGGAGGTAAAGGAAAACTGTGAAGTTCAGCGTAATCAGTAGGGACATCTGACCTGTCTAGTCTGGCTGAGGCTGGAGCAAGAAAGCACAGTTTTGTGTTAAAGATTCCTCAGTTTATGAGCTAGTAAATTAGCTCTTGGCATGCTTGCAACATAGTTGTAGGCAGAAAAGAAACAGCCTGCTTGAAGGTATATTAACTTAGAGTTCAAAATCTGATTCTTGCCTTTGCATATCTTTGCTTTATTACAAGTAAGAACTGAGTGAAGGAATTGCAGTTTTCTTTTTGTTTTAGTATTAGCACAGGAGTATTTCTCATGGTCCGTGGCTATGGTTTCTACATGTTTTCTCACCCTTCATATGATAATAATTATAATGGTGGTATGCATGTAGTAGTAAGAAACCTATGCAAGGTTGAAGGCTCCTTGTGATAAAGACCGTGCAAGACTAAATGAAAAAGCGGTACATAGACCTGACCAGTAAAGTAAATTATCTTCCTTCCCAGCTATGATATAAAGAGCCTGCCAGCTCAGTTTTTGAGATTCTGGATTACAGTGTGTGTTCTTCCCAGATCTGGGATTTAACTGAATGTCTATAACATTTTTGATTTGGGAGAATGAAGATTAGAACATGAAGATGCCATGCCATGGTGAATAGCTTTAACCTGCTCACAGATGGGATAAAAAACAGATTAAATGGAATCAATCACGCAGCAGTAAGTGTAAGAATTCATGTGTGATATTGCCACTTAAAAACCCATTATGAGATTGGGGGGAGGATGCCTGTGTATGTGTTTGAGTTGCTTCAGTTTGCAAGTGGATTGTACCACCTCTGCACTTGTCTTTTCCTTGTGAATAGTTTAATATTGCAGGGTACAGCAACATTCTCTGGGTTTATTGGGTTAAATGAGGCTTGTGTTTGAGGACAGTTCCACATTCAGTTGCATCAGATACCACAACCTCATGCCTTAGATGTCAGCAGAGGATGGTTATACTGGACTGGGAGGTCCTACCAGCTGTTTCCCGCACTTGCTGTTATGCAATGACCTGTCTTGTCTTATTCAGGAATTCCCAGACTTACTAGTTCTAACAAACATGATGCGTGCCAGTGAGTGAATGTAGGATTCATTCTTTCCACGCCTATGGCCTGTTTGTCCGTTTTGCCTTGATGTTTTTGAGATCTTTTGTAATACTGGAAAGTCTCTTAGATTTAGAAACGGTGAATCTGTCTTTAGGTGTTCGTGGGCTTTGTCCTTCTTAAAAATGCTGTTAATCTTCTGATTTCTTAACTTGTCTTTTCAGTTGCTTTGCAAACCTCTGATTTTGACTTTCTGCTCAGGTATTGATACCGTAAAACAGATTGCAAAGTACATGTTCTCCTCTCAAAGTGTTGGTGTGATGGAGTCACAGGCAGCCAAACTGTAGAGCTGCTAGGCTGCGTGCTGCTCTTAGTCTCTGAAGAGGGCTTGGAGCTTAAGCAACATTTGAAATGCGAACAAGCGTTTGGTTGGCAACCCTTGTTAAAAGCAAAACTGACCCTACAGGTACCAGAGCAGACTATTTCAGAACCGTTTGCTGGTTTTGGTGTTTTTGCTCCAGACCATTAGCTGATTTTTTTTTTTTTTCCATGTTACTGATCTTCTAGGTGGCTTTGTTTTCCTAAAATCAATATACATGCGGGAGATGTGATGCTGCAATTCCTCCCCACTCACTTTTGCACAGAGGGGACATGGAGACATACATTTGATAGTTTTCCAGATATTAACTATGACAGAATTCTTTTGCTTTTCTCTCAGAAGCGTATGTTGATGCTAAGATGGATGCATCGCATCCATCTTCTAAGTTTTCCTCTCGAACGTTCTTTTTTTTTTGCCCTCTGCAGTTGAGTGTTTTCCAGCTTGCATTGCTTTGTTTCCTCCTGATTTCTTTGTCTGGCTCTGCTTCAAGTGAAGGACATACATGTGTCAAAGTTCTCTCTGGTAGTGGGGAGGATGCATTTGTCAGAGAAGGACTGAATGGTTTGTGATACGGCAAAAGAAGAGTGTTCTTAGAAAAATAATGAAGGGGCTTGATTAGCTTAAAGTGTTACAGTTGTAACACTGTCACTTGGCCTTGAAATCCTGGAAAATTCCTCTGCTGTAGCTCTGTGGTTTTGTCAGTCTTGTTCACTGTGTTATGAGATTCTGTGTGTACAGCTTCATGAAGATGTTTTTGCTTTGCATTAGCAGCGAAATGATCTGTTGACTGTGGAGGTAGTCAGAGGTGCTGAGGCACTCCAAGTGGCAAAGGGAGGTTAGCAAGAAAACTGCAGTCCGGCTGGCAGTGTTGAGAGATAATACTGTGCTTCCAGAGTGATGTATATATGAGGCGATAACTATCAGGAGTTAGAGCACAACAAGAGAAATTTCTTTTTGTAAGAATTTGTTGTAGATTTGGTCTTTGACCAGAGGGAGAAAACAGACTCTCAACTCTTCAGATGGTTTTGCAGAGCAATCACTGCATTTCTCAGTGCTTTTAGTCTGGTGTACTCTGTGAGTGAACAACCTGTCCAGTTATCTTTCCCACAAATTTTCTCAAGAAAATGTATTTTGGTTTTGAGGTAAAACAAACCTAGCTATATTCTTTCCTGGTTCTGTGCAGTGACTGCACCCACATTATGCAAAAGCTACCTCCCTTTTTCTTTCCTCTTCCTGTCTATATCTAAACATGTCATTTTGTCTAAGTACTGCAAATCTATAGATGGTGGAAAGTGGGTTATGTTGCTTGCGCATTTAGCTTCTCAGATTTTTCCTGTCTTTTAAGCAGAAGACAAAAAAAATCAGTCCTGGCTACTGACAAATGACAAGGTATTGAAATGAGTCAGCTTGGCATCTCGTGTACTTCTTGTTGGTGTGCCACAGGGCTGCATTACCAAGTGATAAGCAGCACATAAATCTGGAATTTGGACTCACCCTTTGTTTGTATGCTTATTTTTTGTCGCTCTTCCTTCTTCCTTTGTAATTTCTCTTCTTCATGTCTATATGTGAAAAACACTGATATCCAGTATAGTTGATAGTGTAATATGCAGCCAGGTATTAAGTTTTGAGGAGGGAGAATCGCAAAAGGAAAGTCTCTTCTAGCACATTAGGGTGTGGACTTTGGGGAACAGGCAGGCTTTAGGCTGGATAATACTCTTCTTTTTCCCTTCCCTCTGTTTTTCTCTTGGTTTCTTCCTCATTGGTAATCCCTCTTGCCGTTTGCTGCAACAGGAGTTCAGTTTCTGCCCCTGTTTCTTCTCTAAAGCTTGTCTAGACTTGTATTTAGATGTGCAATATCAGCATACATTATTTACCAGTGGTTGTAAAATTGGTAAAGCCTTTGTCTAAACAAGATATGGTATCTCCTGGTTCTTGCTAAAATGACTGTATTAAAGACCTGGTTTCACATAGAACTTTAACTGTACCTATCTAATGCATACTAAGGTCTGTTTTGTCATAGAGACTGTGGCCTTTGGAAAGAGAGTGTTGAATTTGGTATCTCGAAGTGTTCAAATCGACTGGCTGTGCCTTGGTTTTCAGGATGTGTTTATCAAAACTGAACAGGTGTTTGCAGTATGTTAGTCTGTTAATGGAGGCAAAAAAAGCAAGTGTGCACTTCTTTCCTCTGTGATTTGGCAGAGATTAGATCCTTTCTGGTTCACTCAGTTCCCCCTAGTCTTTATAAGAAAGTAAGATGGAGAAATGTTTTCTGGAAAAAATTTTATTATCAAATTATTCCTATACAGCAGTTTTACCCTTGGTAAGGTAGTACAGATCTACGTATGCACTCGCTTGGAATTCAGTTCCACCAAAAAAAGAAAATCAGCAAACAACACCTTTAGTGCAAATTAATGCCTTAGATTATATGGATTTTCTGTCTTTTTTTATTTCCTTGATGTGTGTTTTCCTCTCGGAGTGCTCTCCAAGTTCATGTTTGAATGAGGGAAAATTGTGCTTGTTACAAAAACAGGTAGCATTTCAATTTCTAGACAAGTGTCAGCTTTACAGTACAGTGGGAGGTAATTTATCAACCTCTAAAGTCCTTATTTCTTCATGAAATTCATGACATTTCTTCACCCCTTCATGGGGTGAACCCATGCTTGATATTGCACAGACAGCACGATAAAGCAGCAGAGGCTGTGTCAGGTGGGGAAGAAGCTCTCCACAAGGAGGAAGGCGACCAGGGATAAGGTTTGTTTCAGTAATACATGTTCTTGTCCCACCAGCCTGCAGCAGGAGAAAGGAGGGACGTGGGGAAAAATCAGTTATTTTTTCGTCAGAAAGAAAAATTAATTGCTGGGAACAAATGGTCCGTTTTTAAGCAGTCTACCTGTCAGCAGCAGCTAAGGTAGGTGTACGAGTGAAGGGGTAGGAAAGGTTATCTTATATTAAAATACTAAGCTAGAAAAATCAACTTACTTCCTGGGTATCTCCTGATAAACAGCTTGCGGACTTCATCATAGGCCCATATCAGGATGGCAAATGGTACAGCCACAAACCAGTACTGAAACCTGGGAGTGGGAGAAGAGGTTCTCCTTCAGAAGCACTTAACTACTCAGCTGGATTTCTGGGGTCTCTGTCTGTGCTATTTGCTCTCACTGAAAGAGAGTGGCCATTTTGGCTTTTATTTTTTTCCCCTTAATTTAGGCACTCAAATGCTTAGAAATAAGATGATGTGTATATAAGCCTCCCAATCTTAAGTAGTTACTGAATTAATTTAGTCCAGGTACTGTTCAGAAGTGGTAGTATTACAGTCTCTGAAGATGGCAGAAAAATGGAACATTTCTGACAGTGATGTATTTAAAATAAAAGTTGCTTGCATAAAATTAAGTAAAATGCTATCTAATTTCACCAACATATTGGGATCCTGGTAAAAATATTACAATGTTTGTCCTACACGAGTAGGTTTCTAGATACTCGGTAGTAAATCTAGTAGAAAAAGTAGTGTGTTTTTTTATGGAAACTATCAAAATAATGCCCTTTTTAGTCAAGAAATTGTCCACTCTGTTCTTCATAATAAATATTCTTAAATATTTATCCTTGGATTGTGCTGCGTGGGCATCCTGCTCCCCTTTGTCCGTTTCTGGCCAAATGGTAAGTGTATATCTGTTTTTATGTGGAGGGCAAGGGAAGTACGCTAGCTTCAAAACTCACCTCAGCGGTGTGAAGTTCAGGGCTGTAGCATGTCCGAGACCATAGGTAAGAATCAGAGCAATTCCTATCTGGGAAAATATACCCACCCAAATGACTTTGTTCCTACAAGAAAACCAAAGAGGAAGGGTTACAGACCTCTGTCCGTGCATAAAAACCTGATGCCACAGCACAACGCAAAGGCAGTGCCGCTTTGAGAGTTGTGGCTGTGCTCTGGTGGCTTGAACGATCTGCATCAGGTGGTGAGCACTGCAGGCACGGTAGCATGAGACAAGCGGTAGACTCTGTAGCACTGTCTCATATTGCATATGCCCGTGTCTTTCCTGGTAGCGTTCCTGACCTGCCTGGATTAAATCAAGCTTTAGGTAACATGCAGTGTGCATTAGTCGTGTCTTCCAGTTGCACTGTGAATGTGCACATTGTGACTCAAATGTAAATGTACGAAGGAAATATACATACGTGTAGGCTCTATACCTGCAGATAAAGAAAGGAAAGCAAATTGCTTTCCTGTCAGAAATCCTCTGACTAAATGCTAGCTTTTATGCGTGGCCTCCATCCCAATACATATTTTTAACTCCCTGGCTTCCATGGAACTGAAGGGTGCGGTATGTTTTGCAGAAGACAGCCAGCACCATCTTAGGGAGTTTGACCAGCTGGTATCTCCTCAGAGGCTAACGTTATCTCAGAGGAGTCCAAATGTGTGATTTATTGAGAACTACATAAAGACCTTAGCAAAAAATAATCTGGAGAGGACACTCCCTTTTTTATGGCAAACGTTTTAATGAATGAAGAGTTAGTTTTAAGCTGATGCGTTTTTCGAGTAACCAGTATAACATCTTTCTTTAAAGAGAACCCCTATCATGGAGTTGGAAAGGGGGTGGGGGAGATGTAATAAAATGTTTATCTGAGGTTTGCGATTGCTTGAAGTCAGATTTAGTCTTCGTTCAAAGACTGAATGAGAGTGGGCTAAATCACTGCGCTATCTTTCTTCTAAAATTAGCAGAAGGCTAACTTATCCTCTCGTGTGTCAGGTGAAGAATCTACAAAACTTACCTGAAAAGACCCTGCTGGAAAATGGAATTTCTTCGTGTTTTCCTGATGATCAAATCAGCAACTTGCTGAATTGTGATGCTGACAAAAAAGGCAGTGTAGCCAGTCCACTGTAGGTACATCCTCTGATATTTAGTCTGCAAAGCAAATCAAAAATCAAATAGTGTTTACTTCAGACACTCATATCTTGTGCAAGTGACTGCAAACCTTGATAGTAGGATTTCAGTTACTAAGGTGTAAATGCAGAGTTATTCCAGATTTAGGTATGTAGTGATTAGATTTTGGCCAGTTGTTCTAGTCCTCTAGTTACTGTGGATGAGTCATGAGGCTGAAGCACGAGCTTGGTGTAAGAAGGTATTTATATTGATTTATTAATGGCTCTGGGTCTTGTGATTTCTGCAGAATGAGTGAGGGGGAGTGAAGAGTGAAAGGGGGAGGGAGAGTCTGCAAAGTACTTTACGGTAGTGCTATTCAAAAGCAGGGCTGAGAGATTATGAGGGGTCTAAACATAAAGTCCAGAGAAGGTGGTGCATCTCCAGAAGCTTTGAATCAGAAGGCGGCAAAGTGTAGAAGAATCAGTGAAAGAATGGGGTCTGAATGAAAGAGCTAGGTGGCAGAAAGCTCGAAAGAGTCTCTCCTGAGGGACCATTCATTTTGGAGGGTAGTGCAGAATTTTTAAGAAGCTGTTGGGTGAGAGACAGTGCAAGGATGTTTTAGAGCTCCTTTACCCATTCCTGTCCATATGAATCCTCAAAGTCATTAATGGCATTGTTTTCCCAGTTGACTCGCACACCAAGCAGCGTGGAAGGGAGGAAACCTTGTTCAGCATACACGGTAAAATAGGTTATAAAGGCTCCCACTGACTGTATGATACCTGCAAAATCGAAGAGGTAGAAATGAGGAAGAAGCAAAATTTGGGAGCACTGGGGAATGTGCTGGATATCAGTGTTGGTCTGTCTCCGATGGCGTGAAGCTTGCCACAAGTCTAAAGGTAGTTTTAGAGCCCTTAGTGCTTTAAGGTTCTTGAGCTTTGTAGATAGAAACCCGTTGTATTGTTGAATAATGAGCGACAGAAGGGAGATAGTAAGTTTGCCTATGAAGGCAGAGGAAGGAGTTGAGTTTCAGCTCACCCGTTTCTAAAAAATGAATCAGCTCGACTTTGCCTTGTTTTGCTGATACAAGACAGTGTTTCAGAGAACAGGCCAACCTACCGATCTGCAGATAGGAGTATACAGCGAGCTGCTCATTCACCAGCCTGTCTTTCATTTTGTTACGAGGTCTCCTGTTCATAATATCGCTTTCGGCTTTTTCGTAGGCTAATGCGACAGAGGGGATCTACAACAGAAATAAACCATCAGTCTTGGTGGCAACATTTGTCTGCTTCTCAAATGCTTGTCAGAAAAGTTTCAGTTCTCAAGAGGTTCTGTTGCCGTACCCTGCCTTTTCGCTGTACACAGAGCAGATGAGAGAAGGATCCGTGTAGCATTCTCTTGACACATATAAAGGATTTGAGGGAAGTCTGAAACTATTTCATAGGTCTGAACGTATAACAATACAAAGGGCTAGAGGATACTGAAAACATTAAAGGGTCTTTCAGATCCCTTGGACAGGGCTCTGATGAAATGTCTGGTATTCATCCCCTAGAGTGACTCCAGCAATCTGTATGATCTCTTGATCAAAACGCACTGTTATTTTGCGCGCTGCTGGGTTTTGCTTGTCAGCATGGATCAGAAGTGTTTTCTTTCTGCTGCCCCTTTGCAGGTTTTTTTTTCTACTCTTTCCATACCTGGTCGCTTTTAATCTAGCCCTCTACTCTTGCGCTAGCTTGTTATTCAGCTGCAGGGTAAGGCAAGTAGATCTTCCAGTGTTCTGCGTGTCCCTGTGCACACAGCCCCTCTCACTTGTCATGATGTTTCAGCAGAAAATAGCTTAAAAGACCTCAGCTTACAATGTCTGTGCCCAGGTCAATGAATAGGATGGTGATAGTGCCAATGGGCATTGGAATGCTGGTAATAATGTAGATGAGAAAGGGACACAGCTCAGCAATATTCTTAGTCAGGGTGTAGGCAATGGTTTTCTTCAGGTTGTCAAAGATCAGACGGCCTGGAAGAACAGGAAACACTTCTGTAAAAGCTAATTGTCAACACTGTTTTCCAGAAAAAAGTTCAATTTTTAACTAAATGAAGTGAAAACATTTGCTGCTTATGTCTGCTTTCCTGATACATTTCTTCATGCATTTTGGTGGGTTTTTTTTTTTAAACTACTAACCTGCCTTCCCTTAGTGCCTTCTGAAAGTTCAAGGGAAAATAAAATACCTCTTTGTATGAGAAAGATTGAGGAAAAAGTCCTGTTCCACAAGAACACTGTAGTTTTAATGGAAACCACAAGCTCTTTATGGTGAAAGAAAAGTGAGATGTGTGTTACTGTCATAGGTGGAGCATGGCGAACGTGATGTGTGAGCAAGTAATAGACTGAAAATGTAGAGAAAATAATATGTATGAAAGAAAAGTGAGATGTGTGTTACTGTCATAGGTGGAGCATGGCGAAGGTGATGTGTGAGCAAGTAATAGACTGAAAATGTAGAGAAAATAATATGTATCTTTGTGAGGCTCAGAACTGCATAGGAACAAGACGGGAGCTGCTTTTGTCTGGAGGCTGAACAATCAGCAATAGCAGACCAATGCTATGTTTGAGAGGGGGGCATGATTTACTTGTTGTCTTTTTGTCATGTGTCTATAAATGGAATAAATTCCCAGTTTTTCAAAAGATTAAAATCACATTTCTAAATCCAGAAAAAAAAAATGGGGGAGTGAACACAGAAGGGAAGGATCAGGAGGACCCAGCAGTGGTGTGTTCTTGTCAGTATCTTTCAGCTGAGAAAGTAGATAGCAACATTACTTTTACCTTCCTCCACTCCTGTGACGATAGAAGCAAAGTTATCATCCAGCAGTACCATATCAGCTGCGTTTTTAGCTGCATCAGAACCAGCAATACCCATAGCAATTCCAATGTCTGCTTTTTTAAGAGCAGGGGAGTCATTGACTCCATCTCCGGTCACGGCAACGACTGCTCCCTGGAATACACGAAAGAATCCAGATGTGAATTTTTTGAGGAAGTGGTGCAATCTTCCCCTAAGGACAGTTTGCTCTTGGCACACTCCCTGTCTTTAAACCTCTCTGTGCACATAAAATATAGCCAATGCTCAGAAAGACGCTAGGTAGGATTAATACAGCAACCTCAGACTTTTGTGTGATAGATGTCTGTACAGGAGTTTGTCATCTAAACTCCCGTCATAGTAGAAAGAAACAGGAAATTCAGGGATATGATTTACTGCATTCTAAAAAGTACACATCTAAATTAGATGCACTTCAAATGCAATTAATCTGGTCGTTTCTTTCTGTGGAATATAAGGGAGCTTAAAAGTTTAGACTATTGTCTGTATGTATATGGTCCTTGTCTGAGCAGACCCAGGCTCATCTCTGGCATCTGTGGGAGATTCAGTTGACACAACATGTTCTGTCCTTGTCTTTTTTTTGTGAAGAGCTTCTAGAATCAGTCAGTTTTCATCTTAATTGTAAATTATCTAACTGTTCAGTTAGAGACCGTTCTCATTCTATCCCAACAACTTCTGGTCATTGCCAGTCTACGCTAGAATTGCGCCAGCAATCCGAAAGATGGAAAACTGATTATTCAGTTCGGCTGCTTTGTTCTCTCCCAGTGAAATCAACTACTGCAGCTAGAGGTCCTGCCCTAGTTGATGCAAAAGTTCATGGCTTGGTAGTAATGCTGAGTGTTCCAAGTGGGAAAAAGCCTGACAAACTGATTAATACAAATACTGAATGTCCTCTCCCTGTGGGGATTCAGCACAGTGTCACTACCCATAAATAATGCCACATACAGAAGGATTTATAAGCTCTGAGTACTAAACAGAGCATGTAGACTGCCTGGCTTGAGGTGAGGGGAGGAGGGTGTTCCTTTTCACCCTTTAAAGAGCCAAATCTATTAGGAGCGTGGGTGTCCAAGCAGCGCAGAACATGTTTGCCCCCTGGTCTGTCAAAGGCCGTTCGAAAAAAAAATAAAAAAGAGATGAAATTGAAAGATTTTGTCCTTTTCTTCCTTTTTTTTTCCCCCTTTTTTTTTACTCTCCTGAAAGCAGTTCAGGCTTAAACCCAAAGAGCTGATAATGCTGACTGGAAAGCATAGCTCTGGCATAATTACAAAAATAAAATAATGTCTTGGTCCACACCTTCTCTGCAAAGTTCAGGCACAGCATTAGTGTGGCTTTCAATTCACAGCATCTACTTGGAAGATGCCATATTTGAGGGGAGGATCTTTTGATGACAATTTACATCTTTTTCAGAGCTCTTTACATGTTATTTCTTTCCCTTCTTCCTCTTATGCTGGCTGCACTCCATGCTCCCTTACATAATACTGTCTGTGGATGGGACAAAACTCTCTTTAAATCCTGCTTTCTGTGGGTTGTTTTACAGTATTTGAAAGTAACACAGATAAGGCTTGGTCATACATAAATCATGCCATAATATTTTGCAGGATTCGTGCCTTATTTTGCTTCTAGACATTCCTGTGGGCGGGAATTGCATAGGTCTATATGGCCATGAGGGATAAGATGAGAGGATGTGGTAACATGTTGCTTTTATCTGGGTTTAAATAATTGCTGAGGGAAAGCTGCTTCCCTGTACAGTCTCTGCCTAGGAGGCTTTGTGTGTGGCACAGCAGCAGCTTCTCAGAATTACATGCAAAAGACAGACCTTTGGTACAGCTCCAAGCCAATCAAACTTAGGAAAGGCTCATTTTGTCAATAGGAGTTCAGTCTGTAACAGGAATTTGAGTAGCTTGGATTCTGTCCAGACAGCATTCGTGGCAATCTGTTATGTAATATTCTTGCACAGTGAAAAGAGTATAAGCAGAGCTTAAAGAGCATTGGAAATAGGCTTCCTCCCTCTCACCTCGGGGATGGTATCTGAGGAAAGCTACTGCCTCATGAGTGCCCCAGAGCCATATCCGTGTGTAACACTTTACACCTTTTACTCACCTGCCTTTGGCAGCCTTCAACTATAATCAGTTTCTGTTGGGGTGATGTCCGTGCAAAGACTATCTCTGAGTGGTTACACAAGATTTCATCCAGCTGCTGCAAGCTCATATCCTTCAGCTCCATCCCATTAATTACTGCTGCTGTAGCTTCTCTGCAAGAGCCATGGGAAAGCTGGCTGAATTTTCAAATCAGAAGGCTTAGATAAAAATAGCGCACTCATAGAACGTGTGCGGCTTGATGGTAAGGAAAGCAGCAAATTGAGTTAATTTCAGAAGCGTTAGTTGTTAATCAGCAGGTGTTGAATGAAGGCCACTGTAGAAATCCAGAGTGAATTACAGTTACCTAGATACAAAGGGGAGTAATTCAAGCTTCCTCCTGAGCAGATGTAACAGCAGAAAATGCATTTTAAAGAGGACTCTGAGTGGGAGTCTGGGACAGTGGAGGAGGAAGACATCTTTTTTATAAAGAGCTGTTATCTTTCTGTTACAATGTTATTTTTTCACGTTTTATGGGTGAAAGAGGAATTCAGGCTGATGGTCGCTAGGTTGTGTGATTCTGAATTTTGCTTTTCATCTGTGTGTTTTGTCAAATGGGCAGTGACAGCAAAGTCCAACATGATCTGCAAAGTATAAATTTGCTCACTTTTTTGCAAGGGCCGGTGAAGATAAGAGCGACTGACCTAGTCACATAGTTATTTAGGTAGAGCTGACACTTTGGATGGACACGGTGGCTGGGAACGTATCACGAAACAAAAAAGCAAAAAGCACTTGTGATGTATAAATAGGCTATGTAAGCATCACAGAGGGAGAAGGCATAGCTTGCAGAAAATGAACCCATAGGCATCCTCTGTATTCTGTTTGCTCTTACCGTCTATTGACTTGCTCAACAGGAATGTTGAGGCGCTTCGCAATATCTTCCACAGTCTCGCTGGTGGCTGAAATGATGCCTACGCTCTTGGCAATGGCCTTAGCCGTGATTGGGTGGTCGCCCGTGACCATGATAACCTGAGGAAGGGACAAGCGCTCGGCCTGAGTGACAAACGTGTATGCAGTGGTCGGGGTGAGGTAAGGTGAAACATCTATTGTTGTAGACCAGGAAGCAGTTTAGAATCTGAACTTGGAAAGCCGTGCTGTGTACATAACAGTGACAGATTATGACTATTACTTAATTAGCCTTCTATTGACATCTGGTCTCTGCCTCTTGTTATTGGCACTATTTTATCAGGGCTGTAAAGGAAGAACTTGTCATGGGCATCAAGGTTAGAATAATGCAGAATAAAGAAGCCTTTGTATAAGAATTTATATTAGGAATACTTAAAGGGGACAGTTTGTTAGTATGTTGCATCTTAAAATGGATCGTTGTGACTGAGGTGTCCTGACACATAAGACACAGTTTTTTCTTGTTTTTCCTGAAGAAAAGTTGCCAGATCGGTCTTCAGACTACAGAAAATTTCATCAGGGCTCAGACTTGGGATTCATCTCATCCGAGATCAGTAATTCCAAATACTGATTTTCCTTTCTGTGGCTAGACTGCCTCTCTGCCTAGAGCTGAAAGTTTATTTGTGGGTCCCTTGGGAGTGAAATTAGGAGAATTACTGCTTCATGTTCAACTGGAACAGTCTGGAGATTAGTGGTTCCTATACATAGAAGTTTCTAACAGATGTAGCCTTGTGTCCTAATGCCTTCTCAAGAATTGTTTCTGTTACCTTACGCTGTTTAGAAGCAAGTAATTCTAGCTGGCATAGTTTCTATGTTCTAGAAATGGATCTGATGAGACAGTATCTGAGCTTTTCCAAATTTGTGTTTCCAGTTTGGGGGTTTGGTGCACTTCGTATAGTCTGCTACCCACGTAAATTATACGGTTTTGCCTCTCGGGGCCTTCAAGAATTTTCTTTAAGTTACAATTGTAGAATGGTATTAACAAATGTTATTTTTGGTAGTTGTTGCTAGAAAGAGACTTAATGATAATGTGCTGGAAGATCTTAAAAGTTATATTGTCATGAGTCTGTCTGTAGAATCATGCTATTTTTCATTGTAAAATCCCTACCTTGATCCCGGCACTGCGACATTTTGAGACAGCATCTGGCACCGTGGAGCGAGGTGGGTCAATCATAGACAAGAGCCCAACAAAGCACATGTTGGAGGTTGGGAAGTTCATGGAATCTGTGTCAAATGGGTAGGTGTCCGGAAACTCATTTTCAGGCAGGTACAAGTGACAGAAACCTGAAATGAGACTCAAGTTGTTGTAATGTGCAGAATAATAGTGGGAGAGAGATGAGAGCTTGCTATATAGCATCGGTCTTTGTTCCTATCTACAAAACTCCAGTACATTTAACCATTAGCCTTTTTTGGATGACTTTTTCACCAGCCTTTGTAACCTTCACATCAAAGTTCATATAGAGTCAGTGTTTCATTTGACAAGGCTGCCAGTACTGCCAGCTGGGAAGGGTGTTTTCTGTTGTGGATTACTTGTGAGTTTTTTTTGGCTGTACAGTGTGGCAGATCAACATCAGTGCAGAGCAGTAAGGACATCCCTGCCACAGAGTGCTTACAGCACATCAGTGTGGCTTTAACACTCTGCTTAGGAGGCTGTATGTTTTCCTTTTTCCCTCTGCTGCAAGAGGATTGAAGTCCAGACACACTGGGTTGTACCAAGATTTAAAACCCCATTTTACATCACAGTTCTCTGATAGTCCCTCTAGTTGGACTCACCCAGCACTCTCTCTCCCATGCCCCCCAGCTCCATGTATGCTGTTTGGAAAGCTGCTGCCTTTTCACTGTCCAGTGGTTCTTCTTTGCCATTGATCATGATGGTGCTGCACCTCTCTAAAATCCTCTCTGGCGCACCCTTCATCACCAGCAGAAAGCGCTTGTCGTTGGGATCGTCAGTCTCGTGAATGGAAAGCTGTGTGCCAAAATATGAAATGATTTCATGGAGCATACGTGATACTCATTTGTTTCTAGTTTTGATCACTTTGCATGGAAGTACCGTTTCTTCTTTTCCATGAGGATATCATACATTCTATCAAATGGAACGAACTATATTTATTATCGCTTAAATTTCCTGTCATGGAATTACCCCACTGAGACTTCCAGGTCACAAATGGTTGCATTAAACCCAGCGATAGAAATGGTTTAAGTTGGAAACATTCTGGCATAATTTCCAAAAATGAAACACACCTGGAATTTGTTGGTAGAGTTGAAAGGAATTTCAGCCACTTTCTTGTTCTGCTCTCTAATATTCATGACATTACCCAAAATGACTTCTGCGAATTTCAGCAGAGCTGTTTCAGAGGCATCACCTACCACGACTCTCTGTACACACGAAAGAGGAAACAGTTTTTAGCACATGTACTTCTGCACTTCCATCAGAAGAGCATGCGTGATTCTACAACACATTGTATGCTTAAGCAGCAATGCATCTACGTTGCTATATTCAAGTTGTCCTGGAAAATTATTACAGTAAAAATCTGGGACATCTATTTTGCACTTGCTGCTAGAACTAAGCTACAGCAAAGAGGTGAAATTAGCTTTTGATTCTGCGACAGCGCAGGATTTGCGATCACTTTCAGGTTTGTGTGGAAGCTTTGCAATGCAGTTCCGGGACAGCAGCATGCATGCATGGGTGAGCTAACTGATGCGCAAAGTTGAGTGACTTTGAGGAAGGCATTGATGGAGTAAGCAGGGGAAATCAGGGTAGTCTAGTCCCCAGAATTCACTGCCTTCTGCAGTCATGTGTAAAGATATTAATTAAGGTACTTTTACCTTTTCTATCTTGCTATATTAAGTTAATAGTGTAGTAATTAGTAGTGTAGAAATTCTTGCTGCCTGAATTGTCTTTTTCCTTATAGAGACAGTTGCTCTTGGCTTCGTGGGTTTTTTCTCCTGTCTTAAACTTTTTGTGAGTGCATGCAGTAATGCTACTATAAATAGTAACTTAGAAGATTGCCGTGGTAAAATAAAGGAGGTTACTAAAGCCAAACAAAACAACTTATACCTATTATTCTTTCAGAGGAAGACAAATAAGCTGATACGAAGTAGGCAGTACCTTCATTATTGGGAGATTTTCCTGTCCTGGTCTGAATTCTGCCCGGTTGCAGAGAGTTACAATTTTTGATAATGCTGTCCATGATGGAGAACTTTGATCAAAAGGCTGGGCTGAGAGGAAGCAAAATAAATATTGCATATTACATGATGGAAGTAGAAGCTGAAGTTTGAAACAGCAGGATTGAATTATTTGCAGAAGAAAATTGCTCTTTTGAAGAGGTTCTGTTACAGAAAAGGAGTTAGACACAAACAGTTACATCTGTCAGTTAGCAGCTCTGGCAAAGTTGCTTAGATTACATTTCTCTGTTTGTTTCCCCACAAAGTTTACTCTCAGCATAAGGATCTGGATTAGAACCTCCTCCACACTTACTTTCTGTGAGTGAAGATCAAATATTAGTTCTTTTTTTTCCACATCTCTACATGGCTAAGAAGGGACTTGCCTGTTGCACACTGTGCTCCTACGTGGTAGGAAAACATGTCTGTTTTAGCTATGAAAAGATATTGGTATTGACATCAGTTTGACAGCCGGTAGGTGTGAAACACCACAGGTTTGATCCAAGCAGTTGCCCCTTCCCAGATGCCCCATTTCCATATTTACTTGTTTGATCTTCACTGGTGTCAGCTGAGTAGATCTGATTATCAAACCAGAGGTGAGCAACAGTCATCCTGTTTTGTGTGAGGGTCCCTGTCTTGTCGGAACAGATGATGGAGGTAGAACCGAGTGTTTCTACAGCTTCCAAGTTCTTCACCAAACAGTTCTTCTTCGCCATCCGCTTGGCTGTCAGAGACAAACTCACCTGGCAGAAGTAAAGTTCAGTTCACTGTTATGGGGTTACAGTTACACAACGTTGCAGTGAGGTTAGATAATTCTCCTAGTTTTTTTGTGGGTTTGGGGGTGGGGAAGAGAATGTTTAAAAAAATTATCTTCTGGTTGACCTGCAGTGCGTTTTTTGTCTTTTTTAATAGCATTATTAAGGTCAGAGGTTTGGCTGTAACTTGCACAAGTAAAATAAGAACGTCATATCAGTAAAGAGGCTGTTTTAGATGGAAAAACCTACAATGTGGTGGGAGCTCCTAATCACCAATTTAATGAACCCTGAAATGATTCTCTTCATTATTGCGGTACTGCTGGTTTTTTGTTGTTGGTGTACTTGAGGGCTAACAGTGCTTAGCAGGTGTGCTGCTTCTCAGCCAGGGATTTTAGTGATGCTTTGTGTGTGTTAGTAAGTGGAATTTTCATGTGACTCTAAGGGTACAATATCCTCATTTCCAAATAGGAACAGGTTGTGGGGAAATGAGTCACATCATTCTACTGGTTAGCAATTGAGGGAGAACGGTACTTGAAGAACCTTATTTCAAACTGGATTGTTGTGCTGAAGCTTTTAAGATTAATGGCTCAATTATGCCAGAATTCCCACATGAAATGTTTGTCCATTCAGTTTTCATGGAAAAAAAAATACCCCTATTTCAAACTCAACTCAGACAAGTCACTTAATAGATAATCTGTTCTTCACTGGTTAGCATAACACTGTAATGAACTTTTACGAGTGATGAATTGTGGTAATGACTGAAGAACTACAGTGGCAACCAGTGAATTCAAACATAGACTTACCGTTACTGTGGCTAGCAGTCCCTCTGGCACATTTGCCACGATGATGCCGATGAGAAAGATGATGGAGTCCAGAATTTTGTATCGCATAGAAACAGATATAATAAAGAAGAGAACACCGATGGAAATGGCCACTCCTGCCACCAGGTAGACGAAGTGTTCTATCTCGATAGCAATGGGTGTTTTTTCGTGTCCTACTCCCGATGCGAGAGAGGCAATCCGCCCGATGATAGTGCGATCCCCGGTGTTGATTACAATGCCAGTAGCAGTGCCTGCAAAGAGATAAAAGACTGTCAGCTCCAGGACAGACTAATCCTGTCTTCTGTACCCAGTACTGATTGACGAACACCCTTTTCAGCCCTAATGTGACTGAGACTTCACCCCAGAATTACATTCTTCCCCTTAGAAATCTTATAGCTCTGTTGGCGAAGAGAAAGATGGAAGCTGTTTTCATTAATTAGAGTCTTTGTTGACTGCATTGCAGTAGGAATGTAGTGTTATCCTGGGCACTGTACAGTCTCATAGCAGATAGTCTGGTAGGTATGACACATGTAAATATTTGTGTGTGCAGGGCCCTTGCACAGAAGCATGCACCAGTACTTAGAGGCATCTGGAACCTGCATTCCTAAAGATAGTGGTGGAAAGACCACAAGGAAACAGCAATTAATTGATTGTTGCACCCATAACCAGGCTAGGTGTTAAAACAAATGTCTCCCTGGCTGATACTAAGTATGACCAGCCCAGTGCTTAAGGCTTTATTTTGATGTGCTTGGGACAATAGTTTCTTGTGAGCAGCTAAACCTTGCTGGAATTCCTTGAAGCAGAATTGTTTAAAATGAGTTAGCAGTATTATGCAGCACCCTGTACAGGTGCCGTTTCTGGAGGCCCTTCTCTCTGTCTGTACACACCTTCCACACAGGTGGTAGAGTAGAATGCAACGTTCTTGGTCTCCAAAGGGTTCTCATGGGTGAAGTCACAGGAACGAGACTGTGGTTCCGATTCCCCTGTGAGTGAAGAATTGTCCACCTTTAATGAAACAGAGACATGCCCACGTTAAAGTTAGTAATATGCAGTTACGTCTAGCCCAGAAGGCAAGGTGGCAGCACATTTAATAATTGATGACAGGGCTATAATCTCTCTGTGCCTTTTCTCTGAGAGAGTTGCTGTTGCCACTGAAAGAATCTGTTTCCGTGGGAATTCAATTCAGTCAATGTTGTGTGTCTTGTCAGTGGGATTTTCAGCACCAGCCTGAAAGAAAACATAGTTTGAAGATCTGTCTCCAGATCTGTGGAAACTCATAAATACTGTATTGGTATTTCTGCCCCTGTCCTGGCAAAGAGTGTTGCTAGAATGTGCTGCGGACCTAATGGCTTCTGTTGGTGTTCAGGGAGTAGACATGTTAGTCTTAGGTGAGCTGAGCATCTCAGTATAGCTTCTGCACTCTATTATTTAATTAGATTATGTCTAATCAAAGCTCTAATAACTCATGTTGGGGGTGCAGAAATTCTTTATACGTAATAAAAGTCTCTAGACCATGTTTTTCTTCTTTTCTCATGCTTTACAAAGTACTGTTTACCTTACAACCCTGAGTAAAGATCAGACGAATGTCTGCAGGGATCCTATCTCCGCCCTTTATTTCCACGATGTCTCCAACCACCAGCTGGTCTGCTGACAGTTCCTTCTTTTCTGCATCTCTGATGACGAGAGCTTGCTGAAAGACGAAGAGTGACAAAAATTAGCATTGTGCCATGCTCTAAATCTCGTACCAAGAGGTAAATTCAAGTTACGCTTATGGTGCTTTTGCCATTTTGAGGTGCATTATTAGAATGAACTTTTATCTCAAATCATATACTTTAGTTATTCTCACCTGTGGAATCATTTTACTGAAGCTGGCCATGATGTTTGTGCTTTTAGCTTCTTGATAGTAAGCGAAGATACCAGTGAGGATAACAACCACTGCCAGGACTACTCCAAGGTAGAGCTAATCAATAAAAGATATAATCTGTTTAATTTAAAAGTGTTCAGCAATTCCTCTCCTAGAATAAATCATAGTTCTATGTGGTTTCAGAAGACTCTTAAAATGAGGTTTTGGTCAGGTTAAAAGACAGTTTAAGAAAAGAACTTTCAAGTTTTGCCCTGCTAATGATCAAGTAAAGCTTCTTGAGTATGAAAAGGGCTTTTGATAGCATGTTTTCCATCTCTCTAAAAGCCTTCTCTAAACTCTACCTGACACAAACGTGAATAAATTATATTCCTAGGAGAGTATAACTCATGAGGGAATTGGAGTCAAAGACCCGAGTCCTTTGTGGACTTTGGTATTGCTATCAGGAGTACTCAAGCATTATGATTATGGATAGTGGTTATAAAACCTTTGGGTTCGCACTCTTAGACAGAAGTGGTATGTCAGGTATTTGAGTATTTATGAGAAATGTTCGGTCGTAGAGGGAGAGTCCTGAAAGAGTAGAAGGCCTCCTTGTAGTTACTGAATAACTGAAGTAGTATTTAAATTACTTAGATTGTCAAATGGTGAAATACTCACTTTGTGGTTATTCAAATACTTACATTGTCAAAGGGTGACTCGGCTCCCTGGGCAAACTGAATGCCAAATGAAATCCAGGAGAAGACAGCTCCTATCCATAAGAGGATGGAAAACCCTCCCACCATCTGCTTGAGGAACTTAACAATTTCAGGAGTGGCTTTAGGAGGAGTGAGTGAGTTGGGACCGTCCCGAGCCAAAATCTCTGCTGCTCTTGCACTAGAGAGACCCTGCAAAAGTAAACAATGTGTTTAAAATGAAGTTACAGAAAACAGATTTTTGTCTCAACTCAGAACAAAATTTGCATGCTGTTTTTTCCTTAAACATTGCTTGTGTCACAGATCAGCTGCAGTAATCTGCATCTTTGATTTCCAAACTCTGTGATGTCAGGGTGGCTACTGTTAGTTATCTGCTGTGAAGAAACAGATATTTTTTTACTGGAGCATTGAATTTGGGGCTGTGTCCATTAGGAGTTTTCATTCTGTTGTTATCTCTAAAGTGTACCTGTACTAAGTGTTTGGAAAGCTGGGGAAAACCAGACACCAGTTCTTTTGCTGCTCTTTCTGCTTTTCCACCAAGGTGATGGTAGTTCTTGGGTTCCTTGGATTTCTTGTCTGTGCTCTGGCCATGTTGCAATGCTTTGATATTCCGATGTTAGGCGTCAAAGAGACTCGGGTGTAGTTTCTCAAATCTAGTGTTTCCTTGAAGACAAAATAATTTCCAGCGTACTCTCTTGCTATGGACTGTTACAGACACTGCCAGTGAAAAATTAATTGTAGTAAAATTGAAATATCAGATAAAAACCTTAGAAAGGCTGAGGTCCTGGTGCAAACTTTCAGAACAGTAGATCAGACTTCTTCAGACTTGAGAGGAACTCCAGTTTAAATCCAGGTCAGTGCTGCACGTTGACTTGCTGGGTTAGGCTTTATTGGGAGTTAGCGTATCATACTTGTGCATGCATCCACATATACATCTACGCATGAGTCTTTGAATGTTTCCCTACTGCTTCTGGGAAGCTTTGGGCAAGCCAGAGGCAAAGTAAGGCAACGGATTCAGGCAGATTCTTAATGATGCTCTATGGACTTACTTTGTTAACGCTTGTACCATACTTTTCCTCCAGTTCTGAAGCGCTGAGTTTGTGGTCATCCTGGATTCCAAAAGAAAGAGAAAATGACAGTGAACAGAATGTCAGGCTGTTGAAAAATTTATTTCAGGGATCTGGAGAATGTTCAGACTGCCTGGATCTGGGACTGTGGATCCAGTTCCTAGTATGGCGTCCCACTTTCACGCATAGACAATATGCAATTTGCATATTGATAAGCAAAATATCTTCCACTGAAAGGTAATGTTTTCATTGGATTTTTAGAGTACTTTTGTAAATAGCTCCCCCCTCCAGCAAATCTGTCACGAGAACAGAGTGGTGTTTTCATGTTTTGCTGCTTGCCACAAAAGTCTGTGCTGCTTTTAGGTAAATAGTTCCGCTTTACATGCTACAGGACTCCAGCATTCAGTGCCGTAGCCAGTAAGTTGATAGAAGAAAGGGCATGGTGTCAGTAGCATATGTGTGACAACAATCTGCACTTGATTGACAAGGTAGATTATGTGAAATTATTCACCACAGTCTTGCAGAAAGAAGCAGCAGGTTCTAACCACAGTTGAAAAGGGTGTGGGAGAAGGAACTCTCAAAGCTCTTCTCCTTTCTCTGCAATGACACCGCTGTGGTATCATTGACCTAATTATATCTTGTGCCAAACTGAGATTTAGAAGCCAAGAATTTGAGAGATCTCTCAGTTGTTTTCACAGAATGATTCATTGGTACTTGGATGAGTCACTTAACTTGTCTGTGCTTTGGTTTCTCTTTGGAAACATGAGAGTAATGTCACATCCCCTGGTGGCAAGGGAAGACACGGTGAGAATTATTTAAGTAGTACTGGGTAGATCTGGGAAACGTGATGGGTAAACTGATGGCTTATTTTGGGGTTTCCTTCCCTTTGAAATACCTCCTAGCCCATAAGTAGCCTCTCCTTTGAGTTGCTCTGAAAGCAATTCAGAGAAGTGGTCAGTATAATCACCTTCATTTTTCAGATTGGGAAACTGAAACGTATAGAGAGGAAGCAGCTTTTCCAAGATCAGTCAGCAGGTCAGTAGCAAGCCAGAAGTAAAATACGGGTTTCTTGAGCTTAGCGCACTATCCTTCAAGTGCAGCGCAGTTAGTTTTGGGGGAAAAACCTCTGCTTAAAGCTGAGGCATGCCTTTAGATCTACTAGAAATGTCTGGAGCAAAATGTTGTGCTTCGGCCTTTCACTCTGTTGCCTGGCTGACTGTGCGAGTGGCAGTTCAGAGGAAATACTGATCACGGTTATTCTGTCTGGGGAATAACTTCTCTTTGGGAGATAATGTTCTGTACCATCGATGGCTTAACTAAGCCAGAATCGTTCTTTCACTCTAGGTTTTAATGCTGCACAACTTTTTTCTGGCACACTTGGGGAGGGTGAGGAAGTGAATCCTTCCCTGTGTTAGGTTTTTTAGTGCAGCATGTCTTCTGTTAAAATGACAGGGCACTGGCATTTCACTGCCCTTCACTGGACTTCATTCAGACAGTGGGCAGAGGCTGTCCTGCCAGGTGTAATGGGAGCTTAGCAACACTCACCAGCTCCAGTTCTTTCTTAAGGTCTTCTGTCGTCTTTTTTTTCTTGTTGCCTTTCAAGTCTTTGTACTTCTCCTCTTCATCTCCCATCTCTGTTTTTTCTAGATCTTTTGTCCCGTAGATCTCAACTGAGTAAACATCAGACTTTTTCTGTAAAAGAAATAAGGTTTTGGCATTGTGAACATCTGCTGGGACTTGAAGGAAGCAGTAACAATTACTACAAACAACTCTAACTCTGACAAGTCTACTTTTTTTAGACAAGCTACAAATTGCTACTGTCTCTTTCTCCTGGCGACTTAAGAGTGCTAGTTCCTGTCTTATCCTGAGATCTCTCCAGCGTACCTTACAGCAATCGTGGTCAGGTCTTCAGCAGATGTAAATTGCAGTGATTCCTTTAGAGATGTGCAACACTTTTAGTAGTTCATGGTCTAACGCAAAGTGTAAGAACACTGCCCCAGTATCTCAGCATTACTACTGAAAACCGTTAACTCATCTGTCAGCTCCAAAGAAAAGATTGATGTAAAAGCTAAAGATTTTTAAAAGGCAAGAGGAGGAAAAAAATAGTCCTTGAGAACTTGCCTGTTTCTGGAGCTTTTTAGATACATGGCTTCAAGATTCAATTTTATTTTTTAATTAAAATTAACACATGTTTATATTTATGCATTTGCACTTGATCACATAGAAACAGAGGCAAACACCATACCGATAGCCCAGAAGAAACAAGTCTGTTTTTTTTCACCTCGAGCTCAGAACTGACAGGGAGTTAGCAATCCCTTCACTAATACAGGAAACTGTTAACCTAGGGAAGCTGCCAAAGCTCTGATGATGTGGGGGTTTTGATTGATAACTTGGGAAGGGTGCTGTTTCCTAACTTTCAAGTTAATACTGTAGTCTGAAGGGCAAACTTCCCGTGTTGCTAATTTACCAGCTGCTATAATCATAACGTTCCAGATCCTAATTGTCTTGTAAACGACATGCCATGCCTTGTGAGAACTATTGGTTGACCCCATTTTAGAGGCTTCCTTACAGATTAACCGTCAGAGAGAGTCATACTGGATCTTATCTGATGGTGTGCTTTGCTAGGGGGACAGATGAGCTTGAAGGCTGCTGCTGTCTGTCTAATGAGTACTGATGCACTCTGCAGGGCATTTATCAGTGTCTGGTCTCCTGCAGAGGTAATATTTTGGATGGGTTGAGAGTAGACATCTTAATAACATATAGACTAAACCAGAGAGCTTAAGTAATGGAAACAAGAAAAAAAAAAAAGGCTTGGGACATCTTATTACTTAATACTATTCTGAACTCATAAGTGGTATTGTGTCCTCAGATGCCCTTGAATTAGAGAAGTGTTGAAGTCTGAACATTTGTATCTTAAGGAAGGGAAAAAGCTAAGTGCTGGTGAGTAGTTTGGGGAGTTAAAAGTCTGAAATCCTTTTCCTGAAGCACTTGTATTTGCTTGGTGATACATATCCAAGATAAAGGACGTGTTTGTTACGAAAAGTTCTGTTTTTTCTGTCTTGCCAAAGAATCACAATCTGGTTTATCTATTGCAATTTTTCCTTCACCTTCCTCCTCCTGCTCCTCGTCCTCCTCCCTTTAACTATCCCACCCAAAAATCTGTTCAGCTTTTCAAATCCCCATAAAGTAGAGAGACCAGGACAGAAAGAAAATAGCTATCTATTGTGGGAACTTAGCAGACAGAGAATAATAAAGAAAATCAATGAATTTAGTAAAAACTATTGATCCACTTCTGTGCGTGATCTATGTTTAACCTTTAACTTGCAGATTTTCATAGAATCTGAGATTTTGGCATTTGCAAAAGGGATAGTGTTCATGAAACGGTTGATTACGAAACTAGCCAGTCCTAGAATTCTTCCCTATCCAATCTGATCTCTTTACTTTTTAGGATTAGAGATGCATACCCATCTACAGTGAATAATTTAGTTGTTACACTGGATGCCCAACAGTGTCTAGTGTTAGTTCTATTTTTCACCTGGCTCATATTTATAATATATTAAAACTTAAATTAATGCTTGTTCTTAAGAAGAAACACGTATGCAGTAGCGGCAATTCCAGGAACAGTGTACTCACCTTTACCATCTTGGTGACTTTATTCCTTTCCTGATGGAGTGAAACAGCCAAGCCAAAGTCTCTGGATGAAAAGCAAAAGCCCAACTGGAGAATGAAGTAGCTCAGAGCAGTTTCAGCTGTTGGAGTGCAGAAGCTCACAGAGGTTGTAGTTCCCTCTCAGCTGGCAAGCAGACGTTAGCTGGAATCCTGCTTGCACTTCGGCATCCTTCAGGCAGGACAAGTTCTTTGTCCAGAGCCTGTGGAGAAAGAGCACTGTTTGCTAGTGCTTTATAAATCAGCATCTTGTGCTGCCACTCCACCCCTCCCCTTCCAGGTCCAGCCCATCTTCTGTTTCACCTGTAGTAGGTGGAAAAATACCACAGTAATGGGCATGTGGGTTTCAGGTCAGATAGTTTCTAATTATTCCTTTGTAGTGTTTGCTCACAACTAGGGAACGGGTGTATTATTCATCTTGCTAGAAGCAAAGAGTTTCCTTCAGAGACTTTCCAGCACCAGACTCCCCTTCTGATTTCCAACTGTCATGGACACGTGTGGTGGGGTAAAGGAAGTCTGTGCACATTTTGTCTTGCCTGCTTACATGATGTTCTCTTTGCCTGCCTAGGGTCCCTAAAAGTCAGATCCCTGCCCTGTTTGGGTGCTAAAGGGATTTAGTGGAGTGGTGCTCCTTCAAGCCTCTTAGCTTGGACTTTGCTTTTAACTCTGGAATTGCATTTGTTGAGGTTTTAACCATCCTTAGCTGAAAAGCACATTTCGTGGTGCGTTTTCAGCAACAGTGCTCACCTGAACAGCTTGTTCAAATTGTTCATCTTGCACCAATTGCCAGCTTCCATACAGGAGTGATAATGAGATTTATGACACTTTTGATACCTGGAATATCTCATCACCTACAAGTAAAGTTAACTTCTTATTCACCTCTGAAATTTAACTGACCAAACCTAAGTCAAATATGGTGAAAGATTTTCTGTACTTTAACGTTATCTGGGGGAAGACTGTCTTTCCATCTGTCTGACAGAACTGGTCTCACTGAACAACACAGCATTTCAGCAGCTGGTCTTTTACATTATATAATTCACAAGCTTCAAATTGCATCATTTGAGGTGCTGTGAGGTACCACAGTCGCTACCAGATGACTCAAATTGTGGTGAGAGATAAAACATGTTAATGGAGACAACTAATGTTAACCGTTTCAAGCCATATGTATAAGCTGCTCATGTTGGGAAGGCAACCAAGAATCATCCTTTACTACTTAAACAGGAGCATGAATAAATTCACGTTCAAATCACAGGCAGGTTTCCAATGATACAAGTATCATACCTTCTTAAACAATGCTTATATTAAAAAGCACAGCTGTTTCTGCTTCTCAGTTTATGTGTATTGGTCTTTTTCCATGGTATTCTTTAATCTTAGAAAGTTGCGCAAGATACGGAAGTTTATCTGGAAAGGTTTCGTGTTCAGTTTCTGCTGTTGATTGTTTTGGGAACTGGATTGTGTCCTGGAGCTTGAATATAAACCTTTTCATCTGTATATAAGTATTGGAGATTTCACATTATGTGTCATATGCAAAAGCAGTAGTATATTGACTATATCCAGTGAATCCGCCTGTGTCGTGTGTTACCCGTTGCTAGATTGCCCTCTCAGTTGCTGGAAAAGATACTACAGCAAGATGCTCAAGAGGTACAGTGTGTGCATTTGACATCAAACTAGACTGCTGAGGCTGGAAGGGAGGGACATGTGAAAGGAAACATGGACTTGGAAATAGGGAAATGCCTTCCAGGAATGCGGCTGCATTGTCCATCAGATCTGTTGGTAAAGCCAGTGGGCTGGAAAACAGCATACTTCATCTTGTTCATTTAGAACTTTTAACTGGGAACTGAGATTTATGATCCAGTGGTGAAGAATAGCTGGTAGATGGAAAACAAGAGTGTGTATCATGATATCCTGCTGTTCACAGATTTGTAAAAATAACTACCCTGTGCTTTTTAGTAATGGTTTGTGATTTAGAATGATATCCAGGTCATTGGACAGTTTTTGCGTTTGTCTTCTGTAAATCATGACTACTTCTGCCTGGGGATAAATGTTAGAAATACAAATTGGAAAAGCGTTGGGCAACAAAGTACCCCGTACACCCGGGTCTACATGCAGTATTTACACTGACGCATCTGTCTTCTCAAAGGGTATGTTTTGTAGCAAATTAATTGAACTGGGAAAGCCCTATAGACGGTACTGTAGCTTAAGAATATTTACTAAGTACTGAGCCGGGTTTGCTGCTGACAAACGATCGGTCTTCAGCTGACAAGGTCAAAGTGCAAAATTAATGGTCAAAAGTTCTGTGGCAGAAGTTTCATTAATTTTGTCCACTGAAGGGAATCATTTTCTTGTGAGTTAGAAAATAAAGATGAGAAGCACTAATAAAAGACATCTCTCTTGTTCCCCATGAACCAACGTGCTGTGCTTGGACAGCATAATATCCCACTGCTGGGAGAAATTGTCCTTGTTAACAGTAGTTACTTGCCTCTGATCTTATGGTTTGTCGTTTGGCCCTGCTAAAAAGGTACCAGAAATAGAGCCCACATGAGAATTCGGGCTGCGGTTCTGGACAAGTGCTTGTACCCAGCTGAGTGCTGCCAGCAAAGCACTTGTGCCTGGCTTTGGCAAGACTTGGCGTGTGCAGAGAGGAATATGCTTGGGTCTGTGCCAGAGAGCTGTGATCATCACATGTGCTAGTGCGTCTCGACATTCGGAGCTGAGCCCTGTTCAGAGGGTAAAATGCAGGAGTATTGTTCTGAATTCTAAAAATCAGTCTAGAAAAAGAACGTGTCCCCTGTGCATTGTTATGTCTCTCGCACTTCTTCACCAGATTTAAGGCATATTTTGACCCTATTCTGAGTTCCTGTGTCTGCATGCGAGTCCTGTAAGAAGACAGCCAGGAGAATGCTTTGCTGTTATTTGACACAAGGAGATCGCACTTCTTGAACTGTAGCATGTGAAGACTGCAGGTTGCTGATACCTGTGTTCAGATTCTCTAATTTGTTCAGGTTGTTGAAGCACAGGTGTAGATGTTTTTAAGGGCTTTTGGAGTAGGGAGAAAATCACACATTTGCCCGCGATTTGCCTTTGAACTTTGATGTTATTTATATGCATCCTATCTTGCATGAAGTGGGGCCTGCATTAGCAAAAATGGCAGCATGCAGCTTTAGAAGTGTCTGAAGACACAGGAGTGGGTGGTCGATCTATACTTCAGTTTGCTTTTCCAAGGTGTGGGGAGAGCTTGCTGCCTTTCCTGAGGGAGAGCCAGCAGAGGGAGCACAGCAGCCTCTGCGCTTAGTGCTTTCCCTGTGCGTTCATCCCAGCAAAAAGAAGATTTCAGAGAACACAGTGTGTGTCTGTCTTGGTGTCCTAGCACAGGCCTATATCTCCAGTGACAGAGAACGGGTTTGGTGTTTTTTCTTTGAGGCCAAGGGTAAAAGAAAATGTGAACTTCAGGTGAGTTTTGTGGTGCTGAAATCATCTTTCAAAGGTGAGATAGAACTGCATATGAGCTAGGCACGTACTGGCAGGAATGTACATGAGCTGTGTGATTTCCTTGTCCCCCAAGTAGCCTTTAAAACAGGGCTTTGCAGCCAGCTGTCCCCAGTGGCAGGCAGCCTGTCAGCGAAGGCAAATAGAAGGGGCTGAGAATGCATTCTGGATCCATCCATTAGCAAAGGTGGGAAGTTCTGAGGATTCCATGTTTCCTTACTCAGTGGAGTGGAGAAACTCCCCTCTCAGCAGAGAGTAAAGCTAGTGCTAAATCTTGTCTCTTTTTCCTTCTTAATTTAACCCAAAGATGTTAAACCATAATTCACAGGCCGTAAGTGATGAACCAAGCACGTGCATAGAGCTCTCAGGAGCCAAATTAAAACAAAAGCTTAGGCGATATTTTGACACTGGTAATGTAGGCATCGATTGTAAACCACTCCGTGTCGGAGTGCCTACAGCATTCATCTTCCAGTGATTGGGGAACTGCGCGTTCTGTAGTACTGTATGGAGTTCATGGGAAGGTATGTTTCTGTGCTTTTTTTGTAGTTGTCCTTTCTTGTTAGTCAAAGACGAGTAGGAAATTATGAGGAGCAATAGGCTTAATTCCCAGCTTTTAAGGTGGTATTTTAAATGGTGAACTATAGTGTGCCTTACTATAAATACCATGCTGACTTGATATCCCTAGGGACTTGGCGCAGTCACCGCAGCTGTAGTCTGTTTCAGTGAAAGTGTTATCTCAGTTTTACAAAGCGATTTGGCCTACCCTCACACTTTTGAAGCTAAAATACTGCTGAAGCGAGTTTTGTATATCTACAAAGAGATAACGCGGATGAAATGTCTTGTTTCTTACATATATTTCAATGTATCATTTATTTGTTCACATCATCTGAAGAAGAGCTAGTTAGGCATGGGGGAAGTGACTGGTCTTTGCATCTCTAGTCCTTGTTTAGAGTTTCTGCTGAGATTTCTGCAACAGCACAGTCATTTGTATTTGGAGAACTGCTCATTCAAACCATTTTCACGTTTCGTCAAGAAGCCATGACTATCTCTAATACGTCTGAAGTCATACTGGGTTACTTGAAATAGTGTGCTACGGAGGTGTGTCTGTCAGGGCATACTGTCAACTGCTGAGTTCGTTGCTCTCTGCCTAAAGAAAGTTCAGAAAGATAAGAAGTAAAACCTGAACATTTCTTGTGAAGGTGGGGGGGGAGTATGTTACTCAGAAGCAATCTTCTGTTGAAACTTTCTGTCTCTGAGGAAGAAAACAGAAGCCACAAGCAAGTCATAGTATCTAGGACTTTCTTATTCTTCCTGATATTTTATCTTCCTGCTTCCTAGTGCTATTAATATGAACCATTACTGAATTCGTATTGAACGTGGTATAAAAACAGTAAGGAAAATTGATCCCCTTTGCAACTTCCTGGCGCTGTGCAAATGTACAGTCAGGACTGGAAGCTGGTGTGGAAGTACAGTGTAATTTTCTTCTTTAAATATAGTGATAATTCCAACATTTCATTTGCAATTATAAATGATTTATAGGAATTTATAAATTCTAGTCTTTCTTTCAAACAACTGCTGTCTTGATGCTTTCATCCTTCTTAGGTAAAACAATACATTTTTCCTTTTAAAATGTTGTCTGGTGTGCTGGTAATGTGCCAGACCAGTGCATCTAGAACTTGCGGGGCCAACCTGTAGTTTGTGGTCTGAAGCTACTCTTCTAGTCC